GAAACCCAATCCTAAACAGGAAACAAGGGATAATCCTCTACTCCTGTTCAAAAGAGAGGAGAGGACTGTGTACCGGACTATAGGCGCATGGATCTACTCCTGACCGCCCATGTACTAAATACTGAAGGGACACGGCAGCAGCAGCAGCAAGAAGAAGAAGAAGAAAGATTACGAACTTCTGTAATTTTAGTAAAACGGTTTGCCCAAAACTCTTCCGAATCCCTTGAATCTCTTCACAGTTACAGATAATTCGTAATCTTAGTTATTAATAGTTGTGAAAATTCCGCGAATCCAGTTAATGATAATTTGAGCTTTGATACTGAAGGAGAACTCATAATTTCTGATAAGATCGCCGGCTTTTTAATAAACAAAGCAGGCCGATGCAGGCTTGCAAATAGTCGCCCGAACTGGGACGTTATGTATACGAATTGGCCAGCACTTTCAGAAGATAGGCACAGCTAAGCAAACAGGACAGATACCGGAAAAGCAGGTAAGTGCATAATATTGATAGACAGACAGGTAGAGTAGATAAGGTTTATTGGGGGAGAAATAAACAGGTCACAGATGGGTGTAGGGGACATGGCGTTTTTTGTTTTTTGTTTTTTTTTTTACCTTAAAGAGCACGTGACTCAAGAATTGACGTCAATTTAACCTTCAACAGCTGAACTAACAAAACGTCCTCCATTTGCCGCTTTGTGATTTTTACCCAAATTTCATAAGCTTTTTTTCTCTTGTTGTTTTTGTAGTATTTATATATCATTATAATTTGGATACACGGCTCTGTGGGGGGGTGCTGAGGTAGCTTCAGCACCTCCTCAGTTTTTGCTGGAACAAAAAGCTAAACAAAGGATTAACTTTTAACTTCTTGGCCTCAATCTATGAAAACTCTATCGAGCTTATATCATTATCTGTTTAAAATCGTTGCTGCAATTCATTTTCAAGATAAACCAGAAAAATTATTTTTCTAATCATTGCGCTGCAAGCAAGGCGAAAATACCATTATGACGTAAGTAATGAGATAAGTTTAGTGAGGAGAAGTTGGGAGAAAAGACAATAGAAGAACAGGTTCATGTCGATTAGGGTTACTTTTAAATCTTTAAGACTATAGGTAGCAGGGAGGCAAGAAACGGAAGAAAGTTCCACGGGCGAGAAGTCCAAGAAGAAACTATTAGGATAGAACTTGCGGTTGCATCTAGCTATTTCAATACTAAAACGATGAGAGCTTGTTGCTAATCTATTAGTATGTTTAAGTTCATGCAGTTGAAATACGAAGGAGAAAAGTTCATTAAAACAATTGTCATGAAAATATTTGTAGAAAAGACAGAGGGAAGCCACGTTTCGTTGGTGAGAAAGTGAATGCAGTTGAATTACCAGGTCAGGATCTATTATGTTATAGATCCTTATTTGAATTTTGTCAAAGACCATGGAGGAGTTTGAACCGGACTATAGGCGCAACTATCTACTCCTGACTACGTACTGAATACTGAAGAGACATGTCATAAAGAAGAAGAAGAAGGAAAAAGAAGAAGGAAAAAGAGGAAGAAGACAAAGAAGAAGAAAAAAGAAGAAAAAGAAGAAGACGAAAAAGAAGAAAAAGACGAAGAAAAAAGAAGACGAAAAAAGAAGAAAAAGATGAAGAAGAAAAAGAAGAAGACAAAGAAGAAGAAAAAAAGAAGAAAAAAGAAGAAAAAAGAAGAAAAAGAAGACGAAAAAGAAAAAGACGAAGAAGAAGAAAAAAGAATAAAAAGATGAAGAAGAAAAAGAAGAAGAAGAAGAAGACAAAGAAGAAGAAGAAGAAAAAAGAAGACGAAAAAGAAGAAGAAAAAGACGAAGAAAAAAGAATAAAACGATGAAAAAGAAGGAAAAGAAGAAGGAAAAAGAAGAAGAAGACAAAAAAGATGAAGAAGAAGAAAGAAGAAGAAAGATTACGAACTTCTGTAATTTTAGTAAAACGGTTTGCACAAAACTCTTCCGAATCCCTTGAATCTCTTCACAGTTACAGATAATTCGTAATCTTAGTTATTAATAGTTTTGAAAATTCCGCTAATCCAGTTAATGATAATTTCAGCTTGATACTAAAGAAGGACTCTTAAGTACTACAACAATAATTATTATTACTAATGTTATTATTATTGTAGCAATAGTAGTATTGACCTGGAGAGGGCTGGGCTCCGCCAGCTCTACTTTACCGACGACACGCCACAGCGCCCCTACGACCACACCTAGTCATTGGAATGATTATGAATAGATGTTTATTATATGAGAGGATCAGATATATATATATATATATATATATATATATATATATAATCATGAATCTTTAAACCTTCATATTTTATTTATCTATCCCA